TCTGCAGCTATACTCAGCAAAAAATTCAAGATCCCGTGCCGTCAGTACAAAATATTTGAAACGCATCAAGATGTATGGATTACTTAGCTTGACAAATATCTTGTCAAAATGTTATGCAGAAGACAGAAAAACTGAAGATAATGTATTTGCATTTTACCACATAACTGCAAATGAAATTAGTCCGACATGTCGTGATTTGTCATGGATAATAAAATCAATGCACTAGTAGGATTTTCATGCAACGTCATTTTTTTATTAGCCATAGTATTTCTGTTAATGTGGAATGAAGTTCAGTGATCTAAGTGGAAGCATGGCGACAGCTATCATCAACAACAATATGGGCATCTCACTATGAGTGATAAAAGTGAAAGCACGGTTCATCAACAATATATTTCAAGTAACAATGACAACAGCTATCATGCAATTTTGTCAAATCAAGTTCACATAGAGAGCAGTAGAAATTGCGGACATCTCACTTCAAGGTCTGTTCCTAGCACCAAACAAGCCAAGCCAAAACATTTATAACGATATTAAAAATTAAGGGATTAGATGTAACCTTCAGCCTGCGGATATGAAAGATATTTAAGCGGTAAAGGAAACCCGCAAGTACACCACAGATCCCTGGTAATATAGATCTTTTCCAGGATGACAAAAGAAGCTGCAAGATATAGAAATGAGTTGAGATAAAAGACAAAAAAAAAATTGCAAGAGGATGACCATCAAACTTTGATGAAAAAAGGTGATGGCCACAATTGGTAGGCATTACCTGAAGACCGGCTAAATAAATAAAAGTCTTGTTCGAGAACTGAAACCCAAGCATACGAAATCGTGCTGAAACTGGAATGTCGAAATAGAAGGGTACAAATGATGAAAAAATAAGTGCATAGGGTCCAGAGGTCATTATCTTCAAAGAGGGATCTGTTATGATAATAAAGACAGGATCAGAATACAGATTGAGGCCAAATCCAAATAACATGTAACAACAGGTAAATTATACTTCAGATAGACTATTCCACACCATTTCAGAAAAACAGGAGAAACAAAAGATATCAAGGAAAACAAAAGAAATTTATGAAACTACTTAATACAGTAAACCTGTGTGCAAGTTATTTAATAACATCTCCCAATCTTTCTGATACATAATTTAAGAATACTGCAGCTGTCGCTACATCAAAAATTAAGTTAGTTCATCATATCATGCAAGCAAGAGTATGTAACCCAAACTCTGTTTCACCAGACAAGTCAGACTATTTGCAGCTAGACCCCCACTCATGCAGCCTGCAGGTGAGGTACATTCTCTCTCGGAATTCAATGATGATCAAATCTGCAATAAGGGTAATAATTCGAATGGAAGATCCAAATAACTTTTAATGTGGTTGTTGTGCGATACCAAACTTGCATTTCACAAGCAAATCGGCTATCGATCGTCTATATTGCATCTGTAGAAATTGTACTCTCAACCAATATCAACTAATAATCAACCATGATTCATCACGTGGTTCTCTTACAAAAAAAGAGACAATCATCACATGGTCATTTAGAAGAGAGAGCAAACATATATCACTAACTCAGAGAAAAGAGAGATATAAGTATCATTCATCCTTTTCATTTCGTTTCAATTTCTTTCTATAGACCTTCCTACAAATACTTAATACATCACAATTGATGAGCAACAGTGGTGCATACCGTTAAGTAGTTTTAGTGCAAGGACTTCAACCAGTAAAGAGACAATGACAGAAAAGAAGATGAAGACCTGCATGAAAACATACAGATATAGAATGGTCACCAACATATTGAAAAGAAAAGGCTGCCAGTAGCTTATTTCATCCTTTTTGAGAGTAAAAAGATTTGTTTCCTTTGAAACTTTTCAAAGTAATTTTATTTTGCCTTCAAAAATTTTTAGTTAGAGAGATAGGCAGGGACGAACGGAAACTAGCTAGTCTTCGGCAAGTCCACTTGTAGGGAACCTATTCGCAGGAGAGAGACTAAATAATCATTTAATGTAAGGTAATGGCAATTTAGAAGGTAGATGTCAATAAACCTGAAAGAAAAAATTTGAGAAAAAATTTCTCAACGAGCTTATTTCAGGTACAGAAGATCCAAATGTTAATCAACTTTTTTTCATGTTAGAATTTGAAAGATGTCTGCATTTTCCAGAGAAGCAACCTATCACACGATATACTTTTTCACTATTTCTCACTAATTCTTTAGGAATATTCGTTTGTGAGTTGTCCATGTTCTTCAAATCTGAGGTTGGAAAGGTCTCATTGTTTTTACCATATTTGAAATCATACTATTGCTACCACTGAAAAGAGGTTACTTTCTGCAGGGAAATTTTTTATTTTCTATTTTTGCTAGGAAACCTATTAGCTTTATTTGTTTCCTATTCGGATAACCTGATAGGCCAGGTATCAGCATATCAACAGCTAGCACTAAGAAACATTAATATACTCTTCCATTTCATACATAACATCCATGAGGAAGTGTAGATCGTTAACATTACACAAGTCTCAAATTATAAATACCTATTTGTAGTGAACGAGCGCATTACTAGCAATATAAACATTGTAAATATCAAATAACTAACAAGTAGTTTTTACTCGAACAAGAACTTACAGAGTATTTGTTAGACCCTATTTGCCTCTCAAACACACGAAAGAAGTACAACAGATAAATTCCGAAAACTAGTTCTGGCGTAGATGTAAAGGCAAAAACCGACACTATCAGCTTCCATATTTGTAATTTTGTGAAAATATCCTGTCATGAGAATATAACAATATGGTTAAAAAATGCATTATGATTATAAATTCAAAAATTCAAATAATTATGTAATATATGTGAAACAAAAAAAAATGTAATTCTATTAGAGCCAAAATGAAGGAGATAATTAAAGACTCATTTTTTTTTTGTTTTAATGAAAATTTACAGAATATTTGAATAAAAACAGCAGAAGTAGATATAGAAAGAAAACATAAACTATTATAAAGGCCAACGCACCAGAGGAACAAGAAGGCCAAATTACTGAACAAGCTTAAAAAATATCTAGATTGTTCTTCAATTATACTTAAAGTCACCAATTGGAAGCAGGTTTAGAAAATAGCATCTTCAGCTTATTTCAAAACACATAATCAAAACAACTCACCACCTCAAAATTGGTATACAAACACAGGTGATGGGATTTACTGCTGCATGTATTGAATCTATGGTTCTTCATATTAACTCTAATTCTTGTCTTAACCAATGAATCTACTGTCGGATTCTTGTATGCTAAAGTAGCTCAAATAAAAATAGAGGGACTAAAGAACTGTCTAGGTCTTATCTCTTGTAGGAATAGGATCGCTACTGTTAATAATATTTATGCGTACATCAACATTCTACATCAACTCGCAGGAACACCACTATATACTTGACGAAAATAATAATGACCGGAGTAACGAAGCAAATGTCTGTAAAACAGTGTCAGATAGGAAAATTCACAAAGACCAAAGATGGAAGAGAAATCATTTATATTTTAAAACTAGTCATCCACGCGTAACAACATTCTACACTTCTATGCAACACAATTAGGAAACAAAATATAAGAAAAAACAAAAAAAAAAACTCAATCTTTTAATTAAAAATATTCAATACAAAAATTAATAGTCATTCAAACGTAATCATATTTAAGCATGCAACAAGAGAAAACTTTACTCAACCGAAACCAGATACCAAAAGGAAAGGATACAGAACAACACCATCCAGGAAAATGTACTTTAAAGTTTAATAGCAATTAAAAAAATTTTAAGCATCCAACATGAGAAAAACAATTATAAGAAAATCAAAAAAGGGAATAAAAATTACACAGCAACAGCCCATAAAAAAATCTAGTCATAACAAAAAAAATTAAACAATAAAAATGAAAAGGAGCATAATGAAATTCAAAAAAATAGACTAGTACAGATCAAAAAACCCAGAAATAATACCTGATAAGACCAACCGAGCTTACTAGATCGACCTCGGATCCCAAAGAGAATCGTGAAGAGGGCACTTGCTATTACTATTGCTCTTGTCACCGGCGCATTGTCTATCAAATTTTCAATTTATACACAACAAAATCAAATCAAAAATGAAAAATAAAATCAAATAAATTAACGAATATATGAAAAAGTCGAGATGGAATTAAAGAAACGTACTGAAACCAGACGGACCGCCGTTCATCTTCCAACTGAACCAACGACCACTTAGTTATGTATGAAAATAGGTTAAAAAACATAAAAATGGGTATCGTTATCTATATGTAGATGTATCTATATGTATCTACAAGCCTTCACGGCTCTCTCTCTCTCTCGTTTGTACTGTGTACGTCTGGTCAAACGAATTTGGGCTGCTTCACAACCCACTAGGCCTACCCGTTAATAGTCCAGCCTCAAATAGGCTCGGTCTGGATCGTGAACCGGTTCCTCGTTACTGGCTACTGCTAGCCATGCTAGGCTGATCCAAGATTCCAAAAAAATCGACTTGGTACCATTGCACTGATCCAAACTTGAGGTCATGACTCGACATTGGCCAAGACCGCTAATAGCTTGAGAAAAAAGTTTGAATACTCACCGAACTTAGCACAATGTCACGTTGTAGTCACTGAACTTTCTTTTGCTGTCCCACGGTCACTGAACTTACAAACTACACACTCCATCCATCACCCACGTCCCAGCCGTTTGAAAGAGTCTGAGGTGGCAATCGACGGCAGTCCACGTGGCAATCGACGGCGTCAAACTCGGCCATGGTGGACACGATTTCAAATGAAAAACACGATTCCACTCCTTTTCTCCCTAACTCCATTTCTAAGATGCCCTAGATCGATTTCCCCCAATTCGATTCTTCCACATTGGGCGATTGGATTGGCATCGAATTCAGAGAAAGACGATCAGATTTATGGTAATCTGAAGGAAATGAGAGATGCCCATGTATCAAATTCAGACCTCAACATGGAATCTTGGCAAAGAAACGAGTGAAAGGAAGTGATGAATGGCTCTGATGAGGCTGTTGGGTCGCCTGTAGCTACAGCTCTTCCTCGTGAAGAGCAAATTAGAGCTACTGAAGTATCCAGGAGAATCATTGAGGCCTCGAAAAGAAATTACTTGAAGTTGTGTGAACTGTGAAGCATCTATCAACCTTATGAATGCTTTGATTGAGAGCTGTGTAAAGTCTTCTGCAGCAAATTTATCTATGTCACTTGAGGATGATATTGGAATGAATCTATTTGCTAGTGTAGCTCCTGGAGATATGTCCAGATCTGACTAGGTCTCGTGTACTGATTCTCCAGAAAGAAGCACCCCTGTAATTGATGAAATTTGCACGCACGATCATGCAAAGTCGAAGTTATCTCCTGACAGTCAAATAGCTGGAGACCGAAGTCCGTGTTCTAATGTAGTTGATGGCGATAGCAAATATCCGGGTATTTAGCTGGCAATTCATTGTCTGAAAATGGATTGCATATTTCTAAACATGCATCCCTTGAGTACTTTGGTGAAAGAAGATGTTCTTCATCTCATGCTAATGAAGATTTGCTGATCACAGAATGCATTGAACCTGTCAACTTGGCCTCTATGGATTTGAGAACCAGTGCAGATCCTCGGGGAGATATCAGTGAAAAGTCTAGTGAAATGAAGAGTTCTGCTTCTTTGATGCTATCAAGTATGATGGAGAAGATGAGAGATGGTGAATTAAGTAAATAAGCTCTTGAGGAAAAGGTTTTCTAATGACCTTTTTCTAATGATTTTAACAATCTCCATTTGCTTGTGTTGTGATGTTCATACTGCCTTCAATACCAGCAGCTGATGCTAAACTTTCCTGTCATCGCAGTCCATGTTGAAGGGGTTGCTGCTGGTTGTATATAAGGCTATTAATTGGGTTGCTGCTGGTCTTCATGCAATGACAGACCGGAAAAATTGTAGTAGGAAAAATTGTCTTCAATATTGGTGCCACCACATTAACATTTTCCTTGTATTGTAGTAGGAAAAATTGGTGGCTTGTGTTGAATGTGTATTGCAACTATAATTGAATGGAATGGAATTTAATCCTTCATGTGTTTTAAGGATTTATTCCTAAATACTAATCTGTTAGTGTTTTTTATATGATAATTGCTGGTTATAGTGATGATGGAGGTTGCTGGTGGCTATTTGATGAGGCAGACAATCCAAGAACAACTTGAGTGAAGAGAATGAAAAATTGATATACATGATTGTAGTAGGAAATTGATACGGGCAATCAACTATACCGGTATCAACCTGATGCATCAACAGTATGATGCATCATATTGCACCAGTTAAATGCAATCTGATGCAGCAGAGTTCTAATGCATCATATTGCATTTAAATGGATACGCCATGTTTGCATTATTCCCAGTGATTGAACAAAAAACATAACATCTCGACGACGCAAATAACGTCAAAAAAACTTCCATTAATACCACAAAGAAAGCACAGTGTAGTAATTTAAGTAGCAAAAAAACATTTGTGGTTTTCAGATTATTGAATTTATTTGTTTTAAATTTGTAAACCAATTGTAAAACAATTCCACTGTTTTCTTTTGTAATGCATCCAAGGTCGAATATGTTATCAATCGTCTGTGAGAAGGGAATGTAGATGCAAATGTTCTTCCAGCAAATCTCAGTTATCAATCTGTTATCAATCGTCTGTTATCAATCTATAATGCAATCTTAGATGTATATTTCAGTCTTTAAAAAGTGTTTGAACTGTCTGTTTGGTTAACAGTTTGGGCAGCCAGCATCTGGGATAACAGTTTGAATATTGTTCATAGCCCATTGCAAGGGGTCCTACCTTGCGAAACATCTGTTTCTCGTAAGAACTAGCAACACCATTGTTCAAAGGAAGAATATAAAAGCTAAGCTAAACTTTATTAAAAGCAACTTTATCAGATTTTCAGTGCGCAACTTACATATATAAAAGTTTCATTACAATATAATGGAACTACTAAAACGAACAGCAAGTGAAGTCTTACAACAAACATAATTCGACAAATACAACAAAATTCTTTCTCGGACAATAGCTAGAACAAATTCACCGTGCGCGAAAGTGGTTGGGCTAGGGTGATTTCCCCCTTCGCAAATTAAATTAATTGGAAATTTGGGATCAATGTAGGGTTGGAATCTTGGGTTCGTTCCAGACTTCCAGTCCTTTTCTAAAGCTTTGCCATCTTTCACAGCAATACTCCAGTGCTCTAATCCAAGTGTATGCCGGTTCTCTTTGCGCTACCCATCACATGGAGTCTGCCTTGCCAAAGCTGGGTTGCAGGTGCATATCTGAAATAACAATGTTCACAAATTTCACTCAAGTGTAACTGCAATCTAACTGAACTTCTACTTAATTTCAAAAAGTATAGATAATACCAATTGTGTTACAGTAAATTTTTCAGCAAGTTTCAACAAGGAATATTTAACAGCTGATAATGATATTGTTCCTCAATTGAATCCTGGGATATCAAAATCATCTGAGCATTTTAAGAACCTAATAGAAGATAAAGTATTTTTATGGAGGGGGATTAAGCACTATACTATAAGATTTTATAAAAATCAGAAATGGTAGCATGGGCCATGGGGTTGAAAAAGGCAATGAAGTTTAATTGCTGCAGTTGATAAAATGCTCATCTATCTTGTGGGAAACAACCTTCAGTCTTTCCAACTCAAAATTATAGTAAACAGAGAGCAGATAACATGCATCAGGGAATGCTCAAGAACGCATATGTTGTTCTGAAAAGCTATCAAAATTTCAAGTTGATATTACATTATTTTTCCCCCCATTAGAAGTGTGTCCATCAGGAACCAGTCTTAGATAGGTAAAGACAAGAATGTGTTGATGCCAATATCTAAATTATATACATATGGCCCAATCTAAAGCTTAAGATTTTAGATTAATTGGTTCAACAAAATGACTGTCAAATATTCACTTCACAACAATAAGTAAGAAAGCATGCTAGAACCTATTGATTGAGGAAAACATTATTCATTCAAATATATTGGTATTCAATAATTAAACCGAAAGCAGGCTGATGCAATAGAATCTGCGTACAAGACTTCAATAATTTCTTGAGCACTTTTACACGTACAATTTTGTTAAATTTCACCAAACAACTCACAGTAGGGGGTGGGGGATTTTTCTATTAATGTGAAATTCTTTGGGAAGATTTTTGTACACATGGAAAAATGCTAATTTCTTCTCAAGGCTAAGAGTACCAGTTTGCAGCCTCCTCAAACAAAAGTAGACACTGGCCAGCGTATCATACTTAACAAGGTAGTGCCGTAGTGGAATTCACTTCAAATTCAACATCCAATTTCTTCAATAACATGGGCCGGCTGTTCAACACATTTTATATGCTACCAGCTTCAACACAAATCTCATTCAAAGGAAGTTACGTTACAGAATAAATTAATTTACCTTGGTCTTCAGTTCAGTGGGATGGTGTGCACAATTAGTTGGGTTTAGGTGTTATGGGACGACAAAGACAGGCAGAAGAGGCTGGTGTTACTGTGAAGGAGATGAAATTCTGCAAAGTGTTCACCGAATCGATTTGGGGGAGGGTTTTGGAGGAGCGTGTGGGAGGAATTAGGGCAATCAATTTTCGAATTGGGGCTTAGCTTATGGATGGGCAATGTCCGGGAGTCATGTTTTATGTTAAAAACGCGTCCACCGTGGCTGGAATTGATGCCGTCGACGGCCACGTCGATTGCCGTCTAGCCACGTGGGACGGGTTCAAAAAGCCGGAGAGAGAGGTGATGGATGGAGCGGTGTTTTTGTAAGTTAAGTGATTGTTGAGCAACAAAGTAAAGTTTAGTGACCACAACATGACAGTGTGATAAGTTCAGTGGCTAATGAAAGTTTTTACTCTAATAGCTTAGCCAAAAATTTGGGAAATTAAATGATCCATCTTTATCAAGAACTGATCCAAACTTGAGGATTTCATCTTGACTATGGTCATGACTAATAATATTCTAACTTGAATTCGGTTTGATCTAGATCATGATTCAAACATGATGGTCATGTCTTGACGCTGTCTACAATCCTTAATATTCCACCATAAAATCGGCTCGATTTGAGTCATAAATTGGCCTGCTGATCCAAACTTGAGCATCTTGACTTGGCAACGGCCTGTATTCGTGGCATGGACAAATTGCACCACCACACATGCTGAGAAAAGGAAGGTTGTGCCTATATAATTGAGCGTGTATGGACAAAAATTGTAATTAGCTTTAATGGGCAGAATTCCACCTCGTTGGGCGGTTTTTAGGGCAAGTAGCAGCCTTAAGCTGTTTGATTTCTACACAATCTAGCAGTTGGGGGTTGTCAATTTGATATTCTTGTTGAGTACATAATAGAATTGTCAAAGACAGGCCATAATTTATCTCTTTATTTTGCGAGCAAAAGTTCGAGTTTAACTCATATATTTTAGGGTCCGTTTGATAGACAAAGGTGGAAAGAAATTTCAATTTCATGTTAGCTGAAAAATAAAAATCCAACAAATCCATATGAATTGTTTTTCATGAAAACAAAGAAAATGCAAATTAAAGTGGTTGTACCTTGCAATTCGATTTCCATTTCCACGTTGTAATCAAACAGACAAAGTGAAATTCATTTTCCTTGAATGTAACATTTTCCTATAACTACATTGTCCCAGGAAATCTTCTTAACTCGTACATTTGCTTAAAATTTTATGCATGCATTAGAGGGTGTGGTACCGGTGTTTCTAAAATGACATAGTACTCAACATTTCAACAAAAAAGGACAACTAGATCCCAAACAAACTCGAGCATGAAGAATCGGATACATGTACGGAGAAAAATAGAAGATAAAATTGCCGACATGGCTGAAGACTCCAATATAATCTCCACTTCATCATATATTTGATTAAAGACAAACATACTAAGCAGAAAAGGATAACCAACGTTGCAACAAATGTTCTGCTCACATAACATAACAAGACCCCACTAAATCCATTAATACAGGTTCGAAAGTACCTAACGTAAATACTTAAAGACCCAAACCAACTGTCCGACCATCTCTCCAACGCAATCCAGCAGTGTATTGCTTCTCGAGATCGAACTGGAGCTGCTCCCTTTGCTTCTCCACGTTGTGGTTGTCTTGCTTTTGCTGCACTTTTGTGTCCCCTTTCACACCCTGCAATTGGATATGGGTACCAAGGCAACCTCAGACTCTAGTGTGTTAGTATGGACGAAGAAAACTCCCACTAGTTTGTAGATTTCAATTATAGTATGTTTGGTAAGGTAAATTGGACAACATGGGACAATATTAAGGACAAAAAAGAAGTTAAAATCTTTGTCCAATATACTGATCCAACCCTATCCAATATTGTGAACCAAACATTTATAACTGTATAATATAGCAGGACAAACATAAGGGATAGAAATTACCATAAGCTTGTTGAACTTTTCTTGTCGTTCCCAATCACCATATGTTGTCGTATCCCAATGATAAACAGACTATATTGAGCATTGAATAGAACATACAGAAACAGAGCAAAAAACTGTGAATATCATAAAAAGCATTGTATTGATCAAAATATAATCAAGAAGAAAAGCTTGTGTTGATTTGGTCCAAATCTCTTCAGACTTGCCTAAAGAGAGTGCTTCCGAGCAAGTAGTTTAAACTTTAAAATATTCAGTAGTCACAATTTCTTATCTGTAGATTATATATTAGCTAAAATTGATTAAGACTTTCTTTGGTTTGGATAAAGATTAGATTTTTAGTAGATTTTGATAAAAGTCAATAAAATGTGTGGTTGAAAAGTTGATAAAAGTTGTGGGTCTCATAAAAATGTGCGGTTGAAATGAATTTGAAGAAAAATGAGTTTTAAGAAATGGGGGCAAATAGGGGCTAAGTTTTCATTTCATATAAAGACCAAAACATGGAATCTGAATTTAACAGAAGTAGAATTTGGGAGATTGACATGGAGAAAGACGAGAGGAAACAAGAACAATACAAAAATACCTCTTCCATTGTTGTGTTCTTATTGCCCCATAACAGATTATTCTTTCGATCAGTAAACATGTATCCAGTTCCAACCAAATTCTTATTAACTGCAATTTAAAGAAAGAATCGATTGGGGAAAAAAAAAAAAATTAAGTTCAACACAAGGAATTAGGTAAGGATCCATTTTATTAGCGTGATTTAATAAATATAAATCATGATATAAGCAATTTTATTTGAATGGCATAAGTTTGGAACCACACCCATATTTGATATTGACATAAAATTTAGAAGTTACATGTGGAAAATCTTTCCAGGATATTCACCATAACCATGTATGTAAGGATACCACTATTTAGTCTATTTTCAATATAAAGTAAGGAGAAAGATCATTAAGCAAGATTACTCAGAAGTTTTTATTAAATTCTGACAATCAGAAAATAAACTGGATAAGTGATCAAATAAAAGAAATTATCCCAGCTTGTAGATAAGCCAGACCATTCTGTTAAGCATGACTGTAAGAACATATTTAACTATCACACTGAAACTCTCGTTGCAGACATGCAATATAACAAAAACAATCCAAATAAAAAATACCCCAAAGTATAATATACACAGTAAATGCTCTAATTTCAAGAGAAAAAGTAGACCATCAGTAATATCAGGTTTTACTACATTTGAACAGTGAAACAGAAGGCGAATTATTAAGAAAACGCTAAAAAGAAGGCATACCTATTCATATTTAGATATCAAATAAAGACATCTTTGGTGAATGTTTCTAACAATGTCAGCAGACAACCAATGGTGGTTAATGTAAAAACTGCTTGCAGATAGAAAGGGCTATTAGTTATAAATAATCTTTGACTTTGAGGGATCAAGAAAAACAAATACAAAGTCATAGCTAGCAAGCTAATCAGTTAATTGTCTTATTAATAGACATGAAAAAGTTATAACTAGTTGGCGTCAATTAAAGAAGCCTCGTAAGCAGCAGCATATAATTAAAACTTACACTTTCTCACAGCGATAAATACAAATGAAAGATAGAAGCAACTAAAGTAATAACAGAAAGGATAAATTATTCGACTTACAATTGTAACAAAATGCCAAAATTGAGGTACCTAGTTCAGCAGCTTTCATAGCAGCAATTTTTGCAGCATCAATATCAGAATCTGTCACATAGGCCTGCTCTGAGGGAACTTTTCCAGAAGCCTCTTGCACTTGCTTGAAGCTTGAAGATTGATTATCAGCTAAGGTTGCTGATCCAGGGGATGATTTATCAGACTCCACAAGCAAAAAAAAAAAACATGAAAAATAGTATTTATAGAGAGAATTATCATTCCCATTCCAAAATATGATAAGAGTGCAACATCAATGTGAAAAATTGATGGGCAACACGCTCATGTTTTGCAGCAGAGTTATCACCTCCCCATTCAAAATAAGAATATAAAGGCAGTAGCTACAGGACATAATAAGAGTATAAGACTTGCCACCTTTTCCAGAACACATGCTATCGGAGTTAAATAACTTTGGCTTCTTAGCAACGGATTCCTGTTCTTTGCTGGACAATGCCTTTCTATCTTCACAGTGCTCATCTGGTTCTTCAGAATGTCGCTCCTTGTAATTATCCCTATCATCAAATCTCTTATTTTCATCTCTGCTGTACTTCTCACCATTAAGTTCCTTAGTCTCTCATCGAGAAGCTTCTTTTAGACCATCACTTCCGTAATCTCTTGAATCCCTTCTATGGTCCGTCTTTCCGTCTTGGCCATCTCTATCCTCTCTATACCTGTCCCTCTCCCCAAACTTACAGACCTCAATGCTGGTATATCTCCTACCAGATCCAGCTCTATCAGATGACAAGTCTTTATCTTTATCCCTGCTTCTATGCCCCAAATTATCAGATCTATCTGGAGAATATTTGTCAACACCACGTGGATACTCTCTAGATTGATGCTCATAATCCCGCCTTGAGTGATCGGATTCATAATAATCACGTGAGTTCCAACCAGAACGAGAGGATGATTTAGGATAATCTCTATCATAGTCATCCACGTGCTCATCTCGTTTGCTGTAATCATCATGTGTACAATAAGTATGGGAATTCCTAGATGACTGTTGATCTGAGTGTTTATATAATTCACCACTGCAGCTACACTGACTCCTACTTAAATCCCTATCTAAGTCCCTACGCATGTCTCATCTTCTTTTGTCGACATCAATTTCCTCAACATTCTTCCTTGATGGGGTCGGACTAGAGATACGCTCAAGGTCAGGACTCCCTGGATACACATAAATATATACTAGTGAAAGGATTTTAGATATTAATCTAAGGTATAAAAGAAGTGGCTGTTACATACCCCAAGCTCAAAGTTTTGGTCTCTCTGATTGAAAACCAGCTGGATTCAAAAAAACCTTTCAGTTTAGACTCAAATGGTTTTACCAAGCTAAGAGATAATTTTCATCATCTAAATCTCCAGACCAGTTTGATAACGTATTTTGATTTCTTTTAGTGACTATAATGATATAAATCCAATATATTTCACTTTAACTTTCCATAGTTGACAACCAATGCCTCTACAAGACAAGACTCCATACGTCATACTAACATATAAACTTTTTAACATGACATGTATATTCATGCTAATCCAACCAAAATTCCTTAAAATGTATAACTTGTCTACGCACAATCAGTCATTGTTAAAAACAACATAACTATTTTCACCATCTGCACTATTTTGCCCACGAATATATCATCAAGCCATAATGAAAAAGGAAAAGAACACTTCACAAAAAGTTCATTTTTTTTTTTCCTCAAACTGTAATTTAAATAAAAATAGATTGTTTTAAAGGCCTTACCACCAGATGAAGACGAAGACCCATTAAGAGGAGACTGGCGCCTGTACGTCCGGTTACCTGAATCATTTGAAGGCTTCCGAAATTTCGACTTTGGATTAACATTTGAATCCATACTTCCGTTTCCTGCAGGAAACAAAAAATCCCAATTATTTTTCGTATTGAAAATCAAAAGTTCATTTAAGACAAACAAAACAAACATGAATTAATATTATACTCCATGTAACATACGAATATATTTATATATACATATACATACACATATGGATTATGCGTCTTGAGAGACAAACCTGTGATTCAATTTGAGGGCAAAAAAATTGGGTATCAGGTTTCGTTATTTAGTGCTTCTGAAGTGAAGCAGAACAAATGCAAGAAAGTAGAGATACGTCAAACGGAGAAGAATTTCTTATTTAGAGAAATTTACTAAAAATAGCACCAAACCAAAGCCAGAAAACGATTTATACCCATAATTTTTAACTTTTATATTTTTTCATTCCTCTTTATTTGAATTTCAATAAAAAGAGGAATACAAGTCTTCTAAATTCTAGTTACAATTTCGCGTTTGATTGCAAGGGTAGAATGGTTGTAAAGAAAATGTTTTACAGGGAAAATATTTGCCTAGAAAATATTTTGCAGGGAAAATGATTTCAAGAGTGTTTGATTGGTATAATTTTCCATCCGGAAAATTTTTAAATTTTTTATTCGTTTGGCATTGTTTTACATGGAAATTATCCATTTAAGTGATATTTTTTTTCCACATTTGGTTATAAAATTTGTTTCTATTGCCAAAAAGTTAAAAAAAAAA